CTCTCTCTCTCTCTCTCTCTCTCTCTCTCTCTCTCTCTCTCTCTCTCTCTCTCTCTGTGTGTGTGTGTGTGTGTGTGTGTGTGTGTGTGTGTGCCGATGGTCCTACAGTCATGTTAAAATTGTTTTGTTTGCGATTGAGTCCTGTGTAGGGTGAACATTTTCTAAGGAATGAACTCTAGGCCACCAACCTTGTGGTCACCGAGTGCAGTATACTTTCAGGCCTGGATATCAGATGCTGACTGGGAACAGCAGCAAGGGCGGGCTGCATAGGGTCAAGTTTGTGTGGGTAGGTGCCACACGAGAGCTTGCAGAGCTCTAACTGAACTTGTGCTCCCCCTCCACCCCCCACCTTGCCGGTGGCCCGTTTAAGGTTTTCGGGAGGCCCCATCTCTTTCTATATTCATTTGTGTAAAATATATGCTTGTCGGGGACAAGCAACCGAACGGATGCCCACCAAGAATACAAGGGGCTTGAGTTGTGCATTTAGAAGAAGAAGAAGAAGAAGAAAAGCAACCGAACGGATGCCCACCAAGAATACAAGGGGCTTGAGTTGTGCATTTCGAAGAAGAAGAAGAAGAAGAAGAAGAAGAAGAAGAAGAAGAAGAAGAAGAAGAAGAAGAGGAAAGGCATTCACGCAATCGAAGAGCAATACCGTCCAGGTCACACCGGTTATGAAGACGACCCAGGTAACAAAGTTTTTTTCAGGAAGGTCGTCAAAGCAGAGTCATAGATTGGTAGTACTGAACGCAAACGTCGCAAAGTAAACCAAATTAATTTAATTCATATTAGACAACCACTACCTCCTGAACAATCGGCCCAACCCCCGCAGGCACAAAGAAAAACCTACGGCCATTTGATCGTCAATCCCTCAGAGTAACTGAGAAAAGGCCAGGCCCTCCCGGTAGCCAAGGTAGTCCTTTGGGACGGCATGCCCGTTAGAATTGGAACAATACAGAAAAAAAAAAAAAGCGTGGATTGAATTGGCTTCTGAAAAAAAAGAAAAAAAAAAAGAAAACACCACTGTGATCCTAGACGGTAATCGTGGTCTGAGCCTTGTATTAAGACCTTGGAGCCGTAGTGGCCAGTCGCAACCCAAAGCGATCTCTTGCCTTTCTCCCAATACCCTCTCTACATTCCCCTTATCCAATCAGAGACGCTTTCGGCAGCAATTATCAACGAAACTTCCCTGAAGGAGAAACAAAACTTCATTTGATCAACTTGTTAGTCTCATCTTGATTTTCATTATCCTCGGTCCTTCGCAACTTGTTTTTCAAATTTGGAAACAATTGAGTTTGTTGGTGTTATAGACTTGTCATCTTTCAGTGTTGTCTATCTATTGATCTTGCGCCCCCCCCCCCCCGCCTCCAAGTATGCTTGGTATGCCATGTCGTTCCACAGAAAGATAGGTGGAGTGCCAGATCTGGCCATAACCAATCCAACCGTACATGCTTCTGTGCGCCCACGATGGGAGGCGAACAAAAACTGACAGCAGGTAGGGGATACACGAAAACAGAAACAGACAGCACCCAAGGATGCACACAAAAGTATTGATAGCCGTTTCTTTTTTTTTTTTTTTGTTTTGTTTTGTTTTTTCAAACACACATGCTGTGACGTCTACTAGGGGGGGGGGGGGGGGGGGGATAAGAGCAGCCCCTCCTAGTAGTTGTGGACCGACTCATCAGGAGGCTGGGCCCTCGACAGTCTGCAGGATCACATCTTAACCAACGCCGAAGTTGAAAGTTCGAACCCTGTTGCGGATGGGCAAACACACAGCAAAGCAGGCAGCACAGCAAGGCAGCATAATGCAGCAAACCGGTATGGCTGGATGTCGACAGAGCAGCGTGGAAAGCAACACAGCAGCACGGCAAAGGCAACAAGGCAGCACGGCGGCACACCGACAAGGCAAGCAGAGCAGCGGGGGAGCAGGGTGGGCAGCAAGGCAAGTGAAGCAGCAGGGGAGCATGGTGGCATATAGCTCGGCAGCAAGGCAACAAGGCTGCAAGGCAAGGCAATCGGTAGGGTTGCTCAGCAGCAAGGCAACAAGGCTGCAAGGCAAGGCAACCAGTAGGGTTGCACGATGAGCACCAACGCAACAGGCTGTGAGGCAAGCCAAAGGTCAGCACTAGGAGCAGCACCGCGGCAGCGAGGCAGGAGGGCAATGGGGCAGCAAGGCAAGCATCAGGGCAGATCATTGAGCAGCAAAGCATTAACTAAGTGCAACACCGAATGAATGACTGAACAAGAATCATGTCCGAGTGTTCTCCCTTACTGCCAGCAACTGAAGAGGCCACCTTTCATCCCTAACCTCACTTCTGTTCTCTTCATAGCTCCTAAGGATATGGTGGAACATCCATATCCGTCACGGATGTTCAAAGGACAACGCAAACACCACTGTGCCTCTCCCTTCTCCTTCCGCCATAGGCACACTCTCGGAAGATGTCCCAGGTTGGCACACTAATGGTCGGCAGGGACCCAGGCGAGGGCCTCCTTGATGTAGCACCAACCAAAGAACTGAAGATGGAGGCCAACCATAGCCAACGTGAGTCTCTCTATATTGGTTTCTCTTTCCCTCCCTCTTCTCGCGTCCTACTCCCTTCTACTGCCCTTCTCCTTCCTTTGGCAACGGGCGCTTCACCCTCTACCACCATAGCCCGGAGTGCACCCTCCTCCTCCTCTGCCTCCATAGCCAAGGAGGTCTTCACCCTCACCCTCCTGCTCCACCTTCTTCTCCAAGTGGTCTGCCAACTTCCCCCTCTGGGCGGAGCAGCACAATGCTCACTTGAAAAATGAACAAAAGAAAAAGAAGAGACCTCTACCGCCCTTGGCACCGAATGATATACTCTTTTCCTCCCAGGAGAGACCCTCTACCGCCAATTTCACTGTAGCCCGGCCTCCCTCGGTGCCCTGGACCTACTGGGGGTTCCTTCCCTTTGGCGGGGGCATTATTGCAGCCTGCAACTACCCTCCAGTGCCTGAATCTACCCTAGTACCTGTTTGTGTTCACGCTCTGGACCTTTGTAACGTTTTGGGAGTTTGGGATTTTTCCGCTGAGCCTACTGGTCCTACCTGCCCCTACCCGAGTCGCTGAAAAAGACCTACCAGGTCCCTATCAAATTCTACAACTACCCCTGGCCGTCGGGAGCTTCTGGTAAGTTCTTCTGTTGCCAAATTCCGCGCCTGTCCCTGTGTCTATCTGTTCCCATTACCAAATCTACCCCAGCTCGAGATACAGAAACACAGCACGGAAAACAGGGTTAGCACAAGGACACAGACTGGGACTCAGGCAAGCACAAGGCACATGCACAGTACCTTCTTCCCCCGAATACAACGTACCGGTCATTGTAGCTGTATTTAGACTGAAAGACACCGCAAATACAGCTATAATGACCGTACGTTGTATTCGGGGGGAAGAAGGTAGTGGCAGGTCACACACACTTTCAGAACCAACAGCAAATCACAGCAGAACATGGGAATCTCAGCGAATCGGTCCAGCAAGCAGCAATGCTCCGGAAGTGGCAGCCATCTGAGACTGATTCTTCGCAGGTCATTGCAGGTATTATTAATTTTTAATAATTTATATTACTCATGCTTCTAGTCCTATATGTTGACCCTCTGCATGTCCTTTGTTAAGTTAATGTGATTTCAATCGGACATACAGAGTGGCAATGGCAATGTAAATAAATCATCCACTTTGAGCCTGCATGGCAGAAAAAGGGGGTACTAGAAATTCAAGTTCTGGTCAGATATACAGCGTGGATCGTGTGCCGATAAGAGGGGTAGTTGTGCCCGTAATGGGTCGTCACGGCAGTCAGAAATGTGATTTCAATCGGACATACAGAGTGGCAATGTAAATAAATCATCCACATTGAGCCTGCATGGCAGAAAAAAGGGGGTACTAGACATTCAAGTTCTGGTCAGATATACAGCGTGGATTGTGTGCCGATAAGAGGGGCTCTGTGCGCGTAATGGGTCGTCACGGAAGTCAGGACTCAGAAGTTTGCGATCAAAGTCCTAGTCGTCCGTGACTCTACTCCGTGGCCGTGAACTTGTCTCTGCTACCGTCTTCCCCTTGAACACAACGCACCCTACCGTCTTCACCCGAATGGAACGCCCGGTCGTTATCCCTGCATCTGGGCCGAAAGTTGCACCAAATACGGCTATAATGACCAGGCGTTCTGTTCGGGTGAAGACGGTAGAGTTCAATGTATACAACCTGTAAGTTTGGCCCGATTCGGTCAAGTTGAGGGTGCTCTGTGTTTGGCATATAGGGCGGTGGTTCTGCACGCATGCGAGTGTCCTCCTTTTCTGCAGTGCATCTGTGTTATCATTTCGTGATTGTAAATACTGGCCTACGTAACTACGTTCCCCAGGACGGAAGCAAAAAGAGTGGCATTGTCAGCGAATGTTGGGGCAACCTACGAATTCGTTTTCACTTTTGTCTTGTACTGGTTAATGCAGTACACCATGTCTTGTGTGCCCACGTCGTTCTCCCTGACGCTCTTTTTCATCGCCCCTCCTCGACCTACTGCCAGGTTCAATCATAAGACAGCTGCAGAGGATGTGCATTTCCAGGTCGGCGCAGACTCCAGCTCCGATGCTGACGGAGACAGCCTAGCGGAAGCTCATCTAGCCAGTGACGAAGAGAATGGCGAGGACGATGAGTATGCCAATGATTCTGCTGATAGTGATGGTGATAGGGATGGTGATAGTGATGGGGATGAAATGGGGGGGGAGGAAGAGGAGGAGGAACAAATGGAGGGGAAAGATGAGAAGGAAGAAGAGGGTAGAAAGAAGGAGCAAAGGACTATCGCTGCGGTTGCCGGAAATGAATCACCAGTATCAAGGAGCTCAAGACTTGGATTGCAAGAAGCTTCGTTTGGAATCGAAGATGGACATCTTATGGGTGGAAATGACCCAATTTTGGATCCTAATGGCAGAGTAAACGGAAAGCAGGAGGCCACTCTAGGAAATTCCGGGGCTCCGTTCGCGATGGAAGAAGAAAGCGAGGATTTGTTAGAAATGACCATGGTGAGAGATGTTGCTCAAGGATCAGAAGTAAGTCATGTCTCCTCCTTTCTTCCACCTTTCTCCACCTCCACCACCTTTTTTTTTTTTTTTTTTTGAATAATAATTTGGACCATTTTTTTATTTGTGTGTCATCCTTGCGCAGGGGGCTAGTCCCTGTTGGAAATGCAAGATCCTATATGTGTGGACGCTGAACCGCGTGCATGTGTTAGTGAAGTTTGATTCCCGATTTACTCGCAATTTGGAGTTTGGGTGTGCGGTATTTGAATACCGCGGACTCGCGGAGGATGTTTTATATCTTATGCAATAATACAATTGAACAAACCTTCCATTGCACCAACGTGCGTAGCTCAGTTGGTACGCCCATATGAACTAATGAAATACGCTCCCAAGTTTGAATCCAGACGGTACTAGATCAACAGAATATAAGAATTCTGAATTACCAGGGGCCGGTGAGTCAAATGATGATATCTCAAGAGTCTAAAGGCCACCGCCCTTTTTACAAAGAAAAAGAAAATAAAACAAAAAGCCCTTTCGTTTGATAATTGGATTGATCAAGTCAAGAAAAACATTGTTAGTGTCTTCTGCTTACATCGTCACAAATGATAAAATTAAAAAATACCATATGTGCGGTGGACTGGTGCGGTGCGCGTGCGCGTGCGCGTGCGCCATGCGCCTTGCGCAAATTAGCGCTGTAATAAATATGCGCACAATTTTATTTTTTATTTTTTATTTTTTTAATGTGGGGTATGTGCCACAGAGAGAGAGAGAGAGAGAGAGAGAGAGAGAGAGAGAGAGAGAGAGAGAGAGAGAGAGAGAGAGAGAGAGAGAGAGAGAGAGAGAAGGAAAAGCCTCCTTTCATATATACCAGAGGACTCCAGCTACGAAATCAAGGGTTCTCTCCAGTATGTCGGCAAGGTCCTATACCCTCGCAGGGACAGGCGCCGAAATTTACAGAAGGCCTGAACGGCCCAAGAATATATAGTCTGGATCTAGGCTACCAGAGTGGCCCAGGGCCACTTGCCCGGCCGGGCCAAAAGAAAAGAAAAGAAAAGAAAAATAAAATTGAAACGGTATTCACCAGTTCGAAGTAGCTGATGTAGGACCCAGGGTTCGATCCCTAGTTCCCCAACTTACCTGTGTACAATATCTGTGACCACTTGAAGAATTGAACCTGCGACCTGTAGAACCGCCAGCGGTAAGTAGGTCTGTCGTAGGTCCTTAGGTAGCCAGGATTTGATCCATAGACCTGTAGAGTAGAAGTCCAGCTGCAGTCCTTCTAGAAGGTTGGCAAGTGGTCAAGTGGAGTGACTAAAGCAAGCCCATGTTGGAGACGAGGACAAGTGGCAAGGGCAAATAGTAGGACCCCAGTGCGACTGCACTGCGTCGTAGGGTTGTCACTATGCAGTCATGGGAAAGTCTAGAAAGTACCAGTCCGGTCCAGCAAGTACCACGGGGGGGACTGTGTGCCTCATGGGCCAGGGATGCGAGGCAAACGAATGCAACACAGAAGTATAAATCCAGAGGCTGCGTCCAGCCATGGATTCATTCCTGCGGAAGCTCTGCGGAAGCGCTGCTCGGGCGTCTTGTGCAAGGGAGGTCTGCAGATGGCCTGAAGACGAAGTGGGCAGAAGTTAGTGATAGGCTAGTTAGCTGTTAGTGGCCATGCGCCATAGCCATAGACAGTTAGTGAGTGTGTATGTGTGTGTGCAGTGACTGGCGTGCATGGTATCCAGGGTGATCCGGAGTCGAGTTGCGTGTGAACTCTGAGTCGAACGTGTAAGTTAGGGCGCCCAGCGCCATAGCCAACTGAGGTGAACTTGGATTTGAGTTGAGTTGCAAGCTACCATATCTCCGAGTTTGAGTTGGGTGCACAGCGCCAAGTTATTCTCATCTGTTGCGTGCATGTTTGAGTGTGAATTTGCAAGACTGATTTCAAAATTAACTTTATTTAAGTTATTTTTTATTTTAATTGGTAAAGAATTTCGATGTGACCCTGAGGCAAAAGTTGTTCAGTTCATTTTTCTGCATAACATAGTTTTTTTCCCGGATTTTTTTTTCCCTTTTTTCTTTTTTTTGCTAGGACCTTCCCTGGTCCTTGCACGGCCGGGCCGTCCGGGAAAATAGGGTGACCCGGGCGGCCCGGCTGGTAGCCTAGGTCTGGATTCAAATTCCTCTCTATGTTTCAGCAGTTATAGGTTACTAACTTAGCTAGGCCCTGTTGTCTCTGCACGTGATTCTCACTGAATGTGCGAAACTAGAATGAATCTTCTGCTACAACATGGAACCATACTCCGCCATATGTTTTGTTGTATGTGCATGTGGTGAGAAGTGGTCCTTAGGGCCACTGCACGTATTCGAAAGAAACGAAAAACAAAAAAAAAGAGAATCACATTCACAGATCTGGCCTAGCTGAGTTACAAACCCATAACTGCTGAAACACAGACCTGCATTCGAATCCACAGCATATATTCTCGGCCTGCTCACTCTTAGCCCACACTTCGGACGACCAGCTCTGTCTTGTGAGTAGCCCTTGCGAGTTTGCTGCAAGGGTCCTCTGGAAAAGTGATTGGATCCAAATAGTACATGCACACACGGTTTTCGGCATTGACACAGCCCCCGTTTTTTTTTTTCTTTTCTTTTCTTTCGCACTCTGAGATTTTAGAAGGGAGGGGCACGTTCGGCTACCACACCCTGTCCTTCCCAATTTTTTGGACTGACCCCTATTTTTGGGATGTGCCGCATCACGTGCGCCTGCATGCGTGCGCATGCGCTATGCGCCGCATGGGCGCAACTCGTGCGCACGTGGTGCGCCGCAAGTATGAGAAATACACTTAAGAAGTAGGTTACCAGTCGTCCGATCCGCGGATCTCCTGGCCGGACATCTACGTCAGGCGTCCGCGGTGGGAGTTGTCCGGGATCCTGGAGAACTCATTTTCTCCCAATTTAAAAGCGGGAAAAAAAACGGGGGCTTCGCGCTTAACTCGGAGACCCCATTAAGAAAAAAAAAATGCTCATTTCAAGCAAAAAACATGAAAAATCCAAAAAATGGGGAAAGAGGGTTTTGGTGGGGGGGGGGGGGGGGGGGGGG